TATAGAATATACGATTAATTATAAGAGGCTTTAAAAATAGTAAACTTCCTTTCTTAAATTTACAAATATTAAACTTCAACTTTCAAAGAATTTTAAATTTTAATTAAATCACAAATAACTTAAGTTTTTTATGAGAAGCTTCTTAGGCTAGTCTTACCCTCTAATTTTAAATTCACAATTGCTTGGGATCATTTGTATAGAAAATTGCAACAAATAAATTTAGGGTTGATAAATTACCCATTAATTGGTTTATAACTTGAATAATTTATAAATAATTTAAGTTAAATAATAGAAATTTAAAATAAATTATCATAAGCTTATTAATAATCATTAAAATTAAATTAATTTTATTCCAAATAAATCTTAAATTAGAAAGTATGTGATCTTAATTTTTTAAATTAAAATAATTAATTAAAGATTCAAGAAAAAATCAAATAACTTTTATTTTTCGTTTTTCATTTCTAAAATTCTACCTAGCAACCATTACCAATGATTAGCATCACCTATTTGTTGCCAATTAACCTCAACAAATGTCATCTCCAATCAATATTGCTTGGCCATCATCAATTTTTATCAACTAACATTAACTTCCAAATCCAAATAATTCCAAATATCATCATCACCTAATATATATATATATATATAAAGAAATCAGACATCAACTTTCATACTACCACCTACTTTAATATGTCAGGTTAAAAAAATGTAACTTACACCATAAAAATTTCTAGAAAATAGTTCTCCGATCAGAACCGATGTGGCAATCTAAAATACATAATATCCAAAAATTTAATCATACGTAGATAAATAATTCACCAACCAACTTTAGTTTTTTTAGTGCACAATATATACAATTCCTATCATATTTTAATTATTCTATTTAATGAAATATACTTCAACTATTTAAATATTACAATACTTTTTTGATAATTTTTTTAATCAATAATAAGTTTGTTAAAAAAAAATTGTGCCATGCATTAAGAAAATCAAAAGAATTTTAAAATTTTAGGAAAAAATTTTAAAAATATCTATCAATTAAATTAATTAATACCTATTTATTGTAGCACTTTTCTCTATATCATAAAATGGAAATTTATACACACATCACAAATCTCCTATATATTTACATACATAACAACTAAAGTTATATATTCACACCAATATATTTTATTTTTAATAATAATAATAATAATAATATTTTTAATATAATGGTTAAATTTTGAGTTATATATATATACAAATATATAAATTTGGATGTTAGATAAGTAATATGCAAAAATGAGCAAAGAAAGCGCCACCCCTGACCCGACCCCTCTTGAATGATTGCGCTCCATTCTGTCGCAATATCTGCCCTTGACCTTACCCAAAACTACAGAACTGCCACCGATGCGTCAAATTCGGTCTGCTCTGGTCAAAAAGGTAAAGCAAAAGTTTAATTATTTAATTTCCTAAAAAGAAGTGCTTCGATTTCGAATCTCTAAAAAAACTTTTTGTTTTTTAGAAAGTTATATTTATTATGAAAATTATGGAAATGCCAAGAAAATTAAATATGGTTATATTTTTTATGACAAATTATTAAAAATTAGTGAAAAAAATACAATTTAAATTTTTATTATAAAATTTAATATTCATCTAATAATTCGCTGAATACAATTAGAAAAGTTAAAGTACTTTGAGCCAAATTTTAGCAGCAATTAACATCTTATGGAAATTTATTTAGTATCATTACTCTTCTATTTAACATTTATAATGTTAATTAACCCTTTAATCAGTATATAATATCTATATTAATTAATACCAAGGGTTCGTTGGGATCACCTTTTTTATTTTATATAAATTTATTTATATTTTAATTTAAAGTAAAATACGTTTAAAATGATAAATATGCTAAATTATTTTTAAAATATTTAAAATATCTAAAAAAATTTAAAAATTAAATAAATATAACAAAAAAATGTTTTTTTAAAATAAAACCAAACTTATAAAGCTGTCATTAGTTAGTTTTGAGAGACATATGTGCAAATAAACCTTGAAGTGACATCACTAATTACGCTGTCCATAAGACTGTTACATGCTTGGTGGTCACTTTGCTTTGCTTTGTGAAATGATGATCAAATGGCCAAACATGGAATTGTTTAGTGCTTAATTACATTAGACGATGCACAATTTGATATTGTTGAGCAAGTAGGGTAAAGAATCCCAAGAAGTAAAATCATATTATCAAGAAAGAGTATAAGAATTTAACAAGGTTCGACAATATGCCTATGTCATCGGGAGCAATGAGCGGTGGTGACTTTTTAATTTCTTGAAGATAGTACATCTCCTTAGAGTTCCAAATACTATATATAACCCTAGTGTAAAATATGTAATTACAAACTTATTCTGCATGTCTCTTATATGATATATGAGTCATATTTAGCATATATTTTGAAGATGAGTTCAAAAAAGTATTGATTTACTTTTATAATCTGAGATTACATCCCTCCAATTACTTATAGTTAAAAGTAACCTATCTTTCATGCTTCATGTCAAATTAAGCTAAGATCAAGCCATTAAACCAATTTTAGAAGCCTTCCAAGCATATTTGGGAGGTCAAATGAATACCGAATCTAATGAGCTTATGGTCGAAATGAGTGCCTCGACAAGCCGAATCCAACGAGCCCAATATCGCTCAATTCCGACATCATTAAGACACTCAAATATCCATGAAACGTCGTATGATTAAAGAAAGCTTTTTGAACCATCTGATCAAAGTGATTCATATTTCTGCATTAATGACACACATAACACTATAAATAGAATCCCAACCCCCTCATGGGGGGGAAGGAAAGTTTGAGATCTTAGGAAGTGTTTGAAGCTTTGAGAAGGAACTGAAGTCCTACACCACCACCACCGACCACCATCGACCAATTTTAGCAACCATTACCACCGACCGGACGCTGTCAAACACAATCAGTCTCTGTTCGTTCCTAGTAACAAATTCATCAGCACGTTGTCATTGTAACTTCAAAAATTAGTAACTTTTTCCCATCTATGAGATAAGCGGTTGCAGTTATAATCATTTTTTTATAGTATAACACTTCAGCTGGGTTAGACCCCCATGGTTTTTTTCCTTTTCGGGGATTCCACGTAAAATTTTTTTGTGTCATTATTTGTTGTTTTTATCTTTTTTGAGTGTGTGTTGCATTTTTGTATCATACTAAAACAATAATCTACTACTCTACTGCAACAAATTTTCTAACACGCATCAAACATAAAAGTTAAACTAGATTTGAATGAGGTTCAAATTAAAAGGTTAAATCTTGCAATTTCTCGTTATTTTGTATAACATTGATTCATTTACTTTGCTTTGCTTAAAATATACAAATAAATTAATTATTCTTATAGAAAGGTGCTATATAACTTGTTAGAGAATTGAACAGGATTTAAACATAATCTTAATTGGGTTCTAAGTTTATTTGAATCAGGCTTGAATTAATTTTAAATTTGACTCAAATCAATTTCAAAAAAGGTTCAGACAAGATTAAACTCCGATTCAAGCATTTTTCTTTCATTGATTGAATCTTGTTCAAACTTATTTTTTTACTCTATCGAGTTCTACGTTAATAGTGGTACCAAAATGTTCTCAATTATTGTTGACAAAAAAAAAAAAAAACCATAAATATTAGGATAATTTGATCACTTAAGAGATTCATTGGCCAATAATACTCTACATAAACTCTCATGTCTTTGAAATTAATCATGAACCAAGAAAATATGGACATCCCACTCTATGTCATAATCACATAATCAAGTTCTTCAAATACACTCGAGATGCTTGGTCATGTTCCATAAGAAGGTATAAGGAAGTCTTTCTCATTTTTTGGAGCGATTATTGCATGCGGAAAGCGCACGCAGTGCGCTCTTCACATGCAATAATTAGACCATTTTTTGACACATCTCTTTTCCTTGGTATTTTTTTTCAAAATTATTTATTTACTTCGTTATGAATCTTTGAGTCATGCACTCTTTTTTGCCCCCTTTGGCTTTAGATGGTAGCTTTCTTAACGTTATTGGCTCTAGTCACATACTTTGTTTTTTACTTCTCACTATAAGAAGATTTTAAATATTATTTTGTAAAGGGGATAATTAAATACACAGGTCATCAAACATATTGATATTTACAAATTAATCATGCAGGTGATTGTTTTGAACTACCGAACTCGCCGCCATGGTCAAGCTTTTGAGAATTTAGTAAAAACAAAAAATGTAGCTAGAGTCTTACCATGAATTTTGATATTTGAGTGAGAATCTCAAAATATGATGAAAAAAAAGTGATCGGTTTGTAAATAGCAAGTTTTGAGTGGTATATATGTAATTGCCCCGAAAAAAAAAGATTTACGTACATAACATTCGAAACATTTGTATTCGTCTATTTCACACAAAAGCTTTCGTAAATACAAATATCATATGAAAAATAACACTCATTATATTCTTTTAATAGCCAAATTCATCTTTTCATCCAAAGATAAAATATTCTGTGTGTAAAAATGAAATTTAGGGTGACATAGATAAATCCACAATAATTGGGTGCTATGTATGTAATTTTCAAAAAAAAAAAATAAAAATAAAAAAAGAGGGCCCCTTTGGCCTTTGGCCTGAAGCCGATCATCCCGCATGTCTAGTTATTGCGTGCGGAGAGCGCACGCAGAGCTACGTGCGCTCACGGATCACAACCACGCATTTGTAGGGTCTGGGCAGTTGTTCCACGTTATTATTTCTATTTTGATTTAGCTAGTTTTCTATTTTAACAATAGGTCCACTATCATACAGCCGCGATGCTCGGCTTTAATTAAGCAACGCCGCACGAGCGCACGCAATAATGGCTCCATCCCGCATTCCCCCCACCAAGTCGACACAACCCTGAAATCCCGAATCATCACTCTCACTCAGTGGGCAACCCGTAAATAATCCATATGGTGAAGGCTATTTTGATCTCTTATACTTTCTTCCACATTCTCCGCTGCGTCGTGGTCATCTATTACCGTATTGTACGATAAAGAGCAAATCGAGAAACAAGATAGAGCGGGGAAGAGAATGGCAATGGCGGCAGAGAACACCTTCCTGTCTTCCTTCTCGAAACTCTCCTCCACTACTCCTCGCTCCTGCAGCTCAATCAGCAAGAGGTGAGCGATCTTTGCTTGCATGCCTTACTTTTCTTACAGCTTGTTCTAGTTCTTTGCATATGTTTTGGGATTGATGTGCCTATTTCTGGTGTGAATTGTTTCTTTTCTTCAATTTTCCTTTTCTTCAATTTTCTACTGTGTTTTTTTTTTTTCTTGAATTGATTTTTTTGTTGTTTTCGAGATTGATTTGGTGAGATATTTTGCATTTTGGTATTTGCAAGAGATGGTCCATTTTCTCGTTACTGAACATGAGTTTTGTTATGATTTGGGCACGTAGGATCTTTTCAGATGTTGCAGGAGATATCACGATTTATGTTGATGGGCAATCGTTCTTGTTACACAAGGTACACTGTCGATTAATTGCTCAACAAAATTTCTTTATTGATATATATTTCGTTCCATTCGTCTTGTTTATGGAGAATAATGTGGATTTCTTATTTCGGTGATGATAATTGTTTGGAAGTTCTGAATAATTGTGGTGATAGGTTTAAGAGCTGGACCTAACGAATGGATCGATTTAGTATCAGTCGGCTATGAATCAAACTAAGTTTAAGCCATGAAGTTGTTATGCGAAAATAATGTGGAAGCTTAAAAATTCACATAACAACAATCAGACACAAAAGATTTACATGGTTTGGCATTAGACTAAGTCGCCTACGTCTATAGGGAAGGAGATTTCAACAGCACCGGATGGGAGAAAGAAAAACAATATGGGATTACAACTCTAACTCTTCTCACCATACACCTCACTCCTAACTCTTATGAACCATAAGTCATTTTATAGAGGAGGATTAGGGCATATAAGGAAAAAAAAAAGAAACAAATCAATTCTAATAAAAGTCATAAATACAACAATTTTCACCTCATCTCTTATATCCAAATAAGTGATAAATGATCAAATGAATTCCAAACTCCAATTCAGCTGCACCAAGATGGTTGCCTATGTACCCCTCCTACCAATGAGATTAAGTCTCGTGCAGTTCTTCAAAATCTCCGCCTAGGCAATCAGTACTGAGTTCGGATGTTCACGAAACGCTGCAATAGGTGAACTTCTGGACTGGTAGTAGCTTCGCGACCATGTCCGTTGAATTCTCTTTTGGATCTATCTTTTTCAAAAGAATTTTGTCTTCTTCAATCAAGTCCAGAACAAAGTGGTGTCTCACATCAATGTGTTTAGTACGAGCATGATGGACTGGATTGTAGTAAAAAATATCACACTCTGACTGTCACAGAACACCGTCAAAGACTCCCGATCAACTCCCAAGTTATTCAATAGGCCCTTCATACATATTGTTTCCTTCAACGCTCCGCGACTACCATCTATTTAGCCTCTGTAGTAGACAAAACAACAACAAATTGAAGAAACGACCTCCAACTGATTGAACCTCCTGCCAATATGAATAAATAACTAGTCGTATATCTTCGTCTATTCATATCACATGCATAGTCTAAGTCAATGTAGCCTACACACAAATATACAATGGATGGTTGTCTCTCAAAAACCAAATCAACATCAAATGAACTTTTCGGATACCTCAGAACAGTCTTCACTGCCTGCCAAGGACTTCTTCCTGTATTATGCATAAACCTGCTCACTACACCAACTGCTTGTGCAATATCAGGTCTAATAAAAACCATGAAATGCTTAGAATGCCCACTGCACTAATATAAAGAATCGTCGCATATCCTTCCTTTTGTTGATCATTTTTAGAACACTGATTTAAATTCAACTGAAAGTGAGATGCAATGGGTAGACTCACTATCTTGCTCGAGTCATCAACCCTAAATGTCTTCACCACCTTTCAAACATAAGCTTCTTGCGAAAGGCAAACCTTTTCAACTGACTTGTCTCTGAGAATCTCCATGCCAAGAATTTTACGAGCTTCACCCAAAAGATGTCATATGTCTAAATTACCTTTCGTATTGTGGATGTCAGTCCCAAAAGATGTCATATGTTTTCTTGTCAAACACACAATATTCACAGAAATCAAGTTTGTAGGTACTTGCTCTTTTGATCAATTATTTCTTCACTAAAGTTTGAAGTGAAGCTTTTCCAGTATGAGATAGCTGCATATGCCACAATATAGTGGTGTCAGAAGGATTATCAGTAAAAACAATTGTTCCAATCACTGACTACCCTGAAGATAGTAAAGATTGTGATGATGAACTATTGTCATAAAAATCATTGTTTCACGACATATTCTCAGAACTTATGTCTTAATAACTATCTTGTAGCTCTTCGACTCTAAAGCCCCAACTGATAGCAAATTCTTCATATTATCTGGAATATGTTTAACATCAGTCACTTTACTTACAGTACTATCATGCATCTTGGTAAAAATACTCCCTACACCAACATACGACAAGCTTGATCGCTACTCATAGTCACTGCACCATTATCCAGCTCCTTATACGTACAAAACTACCTTCGATGGGGAAAAATGTGATGTGTAGCATCTGTGTCCAAAATCCAACACGAATCATCTGTAAACAAACTGTGAAAAACTGCATATAACGATACATTTGAATCCGCCTCTTCATTTCTTTCCACACTGATACGCCCCAGAAACAACCTTTTTCCCTTTTCCTTCAGCTTCAGACAATCTTTCATCTAATGATCAATCTCTAAATAATAAGTACACTGATCTTTCCCAAGACTGCGCCCACGAGACTTGCCCCGCTTTTGAGAAGTGTCACTGTTGCCACATTTCTTTGTCAAATTCTTCTTCTTCTTCTCAGATCTATCACATTGGAGTATAAGTGTCTCAACCGATTCCATCTTTGCGAACTTCTTGTCCCTTCGACGAAACTTGTGATTCAACAGTGTTGTAGTCATTTTATCATAATTTAAGACGTCTTTCCCATGAATGAGTGTCATAGTGAAGTTTTCATATTCATCTGAGAACAAATTCAACAGAAGAAGTATCTTGTCTTCATCTCCAACCCCCTCATCCAAATTTAACGGATTTACCAACAACTTTATGAAATTATTTAAATCTAAAAACCCCCCCCCCCCCCCCCTCGCGTCTTATCTGAAATTTATAGAGTCGGCACTTCATATAGAGACGATTCTCTACGCTCCTTGTGATATACTTGTTTTTCAGCATCATCCACAATTTCTCTACAGAAGTCTCTATCAACACCCATATTTGATTTTCTTGGTCAAACAAATTTAGATAAAGTCACATGCACTCATGTTCATCTTCAACTAGTATCTCTCTGACATCTCTTCAAAACATTCCTCGCTATCTAGAATTTTTTCTAAATTCAGAGAACACAACTCATCCATCACCTCGCATCTCCACATGCTAAATTTTCCATTGTTGTCAAATTTCATCAGATCAATTTTGACAAGATGCGTAACTACCTGATAAATCGACTTTTACCATAGTAAACGTTGAAGAACTAGACATTGTGCTATTAATTATTTCTGACACTGTTGGAATCTTCTTTCTCAAAAAAATTCTTCTAGCAAAATACTATCTTGTTAAAAACATTCCAAAACTACGTTGCTTTCCACCTTCCTTGCACAAAAAAAAATTCCTTCCCTTAGCCTGCAATGACGCAAACCAGAAAAAAAAGCAATATTCTTTTCTTTTTTGTTCGGCTCCCACACAAGCCTAATTAATGTCTGCCACCTTTTTGCGACAGACCACGCCGGAGCCATCGCCGACATGCCGCCTGAACCTCCCCCGAAACAAAGCTCACTGGATGGGCACCTCAAGCAGCACCTCTAGCGTTGGGATTATTGTCGGAGCCGCTGAATCTGTCGGCAAAACACGCCGGACCATGTGCTGCAGAAAACATTGGTAACACAAGCCGGATTTGTTGTCGTTAACGCCGAACCTTGCTCCAATCACGAACCCGAAGCTCTGATATCAAACAAAAAAGATTTATGTGGTTCGACATTAAATCAAGTTGCCTACGTCCATAATGAGGGAGATTTCACTAGCACCGGATGGGAGAAAGAAAATTGGCTTGGGGTTACAACTCAACTCCTCACCATACACCTGACTCCTACCACTCATGACCCTAAGTCATTCTTTTATCGAGGAGGATTAGGGTATATAAGAAAAAAAAATTTAAAAAAAGAAACAAATCAATTATAATAAAGTCATTAATACAACAGAAATAATGTTGTTCTGATAAGTTCCTTATGGTTCAGTTAGAATGTCTAAGTTTTGAATGAACACAATATCACGGTGCTGTAATCTTAAATCATTTGTGTAGATGCATGGTTAATTTGTACATTGTGTAGATAACACTTCATTTTGTTTTCTGTTAATTCAAACACAAAACATGGTGATTTGCACTTATCACTAAGCTTATGGTTATTTATTCTTGTAATTCTGTTGCTCTCAAAGCTTTGCTTTCTAATTTTTTTCTTCAGTCATAGTGATTAATCTCGGGATTTACAAAGCTATTGCAATATGAATTTTGTACTGTAAGCATTTTCACAGAAGTAGTAATTAGCATGATTATATTTGTAGTTTTGGTTCTGTAAAATTTCTGTTTTTTTTATTTATATTTGTAGTTTTGATGAAGTGGAGCTGGAACGGATATGTTTCCTTTTATTAAACACAGGCTTCTGAGTGCAATTCCTTGCTTTACCAAAATGCTTTACCTTTGTGTGGGTTTTCTTTAGATTTATTTTAAATGCTTAGTCGGATAGTTCTTTAATGCTTATTTGATAATTTCTTGTCATTGAAGTTCCCTTTGGTTTCACGGAGTGGCAAAATTTGCAAAATGGTGGTTGATTCGAAGGATTCAGATCTCTCCAGATTGGAGTTTTTCAATGTTCCGGGCGGTTTTTTTGCTTTTGAACTTGCAGCTAAATTCTGTTACGGAATGAATTTTGAGATACTGACTAGCAACGTTGCTGATCTGAGATGCATAGCTGAATATCTAGAAATGACAGAAGACTATAGAGAGCAAAACCTTATTGCCCAAACAGAAACCTACATGAATGAGATAGTGTTGCAAAGCATTGAGAAGTCCATTGAGGTTCTTTGTGCTTGCTCTGGCCTGCTTCCCATTGCAGAAGAGGTTGGTATAATAAATAGATGCATAGATGCAATTGCTGCTATTGCAAGCAAGGAACAATTGGTTTGTGGTTTATCCCGGTTAGAGTTCAATGGAAGATCTGAAAAGCAGAACATGGACTGCCAGGAATGGTGGGTGGAAGATCTATGGGCGTTAAACATCAATCATTTTCAACGAGTAATTTCTGCTATGAGGAGGATGGGAGTTAGAGCGGATAGCATAACAGCCTCAATTATCCATTATGCTCATGCCTCTCTGAAAGGTACTGAGAAACGTAAGGCATGCGATTCCAACTTGTCATTTGGAGATGAACAGAGAATCATCGTGGAAGCACTAGTGTGTCTCTTATCAACCGAAAAGATCAAATCTGTTCCATTAACGTTTCTGTTTGGGATGCTTAGGATGGCAATCGATGTGAATGCATCAATCAGCTGTAAGCTTGACCTGGAGAGGCTAATCAGTTTCCGGTTGGAAGTGGCGTCACTCGATGATCTGCTAATTCCCTCGGTACAGAAAAATGATTCGGTTTTTGATATTGACACCGTACACCGCATATTGGCAAATTTCATGCAGAGGATTGAAGAAGAAGATTCTGATGAATCATCACAGTGTGGATATGAATCTGAAGGTCTAAACTCTCCCAGTCATAGTTCTGTTCTGAAAGTAGGGAGGCTTATTGATGGTTATCTTGCTGAAATCGCACCTGATCCATATCTGAAGCTACATAAATTCATGTCACTTATTGAACTGTTGCCAGATTATGCCAGAGTGATTGAGGATGGGCTCTACAGGGCTATAGACATTTACTTGAAGGTATTTTCTTGAAGTTTAATTTGGAGACTTCTATTTCAGTAATTTAGTTTCTAGAAAAGATAATGTAAGCCTTACAGACTTCCTTTATTTTAATTCTCTGCATGAACTGTTTCCCTCTACATATTTCTTTCAGAACCTATGTTCCCTAGCTGGAACATGTCGTTACTTCTCATTTCCCATCTGAGAACATGCTGGCTAAATTCTGAATGCACCTGTAGCTCTTGTGCGACAGTTGTATGGAAAGACCCAGCTTAGGTGAAAAGCTCGACTTCTATCTACTTTGCTAAGCACATGTGCTGATGCGACTTTGAATTATCTTCTATTAACGATCACCATGGTAATCTAAGAGGAACGCATGTTCCAAATACAACTCATGCTAGAAGTATATATGATCTGCATAGAATTAGAGAGGATAACACTTTTATAGGCTCAACCGAGGGTGATATTGAGTTGAATTTGAGTGTAATTGATTGAACTTGTGTTCAATTTAAAATTCTTATTTAGCTTGAACTAATAAAAAGGAAAAAAAGAAATGATTTACAGTTGAACGGACTTGAATCAATATTGAATAAGATTTGACAACTACAATGACTAGCTTGGGTGCTTGAATGGATGACAAATCTTATACCAAGTGTTCCATCCACTAAGCCAACCTAGAAAAACCATTCTGAGTTTATATATAAACCAGCAACGAGTATGTTATCTATGTGTCTACATTTATACACTCGCACACTGTCCTCGCCCTCACTGTTTTGTTACACTTCAGACTTGGTGAAGGGATATAAAATCTGTTGTGTACACATAAGAAAAGCTCATATACAAGAATTATAGATAGTAAGAGTGAGCAAGGAAAATAAATTTTTTTTTTCCATCAATACAATTTTTACAACAATTCAACAAGCAAAATAACATTTAATGAAAAAGCAATAAGAAACTATTGCAAAAATAAAATTACCCAAACTTTAACAAAAGTATAAATAAAACTACATGAACTTGTTGACCAATATATATAATTCACGAGTTGAAATGATTGCATGTAAGGTGAGTGACGAATGATGGTACAACATTGCACGATCAAAAATAAAAAATCATGATCACACTCAAAGCCACCCAAAATATTATCAGATTGAACTCTGACTGTACAAACACATCTGAAATACTAAAATTCCTTAAGAAGAAATATTCCATAGTTTAAAGGACCAAACATTATGAAAATGAGAAACCGCCGAAGCGACACGTAACTTGAACCCAAATTGTCTCGACTGCTGACAAAGTCACACAAACAATCTTAGATTGAAAAATGGATTACACGAGTGCATACAAGTCGCCAACATTTTTCTAGGAAAGACACCCATATTGCTAATTCTTCGTGTTTTTGTTGGTAGCATGCAAATTACGCTCATCAGTTTTCATGCATTAGTGCCCGACATCAGGGCAGCGTCATTACATAAGGCGGATCTGGTGCCGTCGGATCGAATGAAGGAATGGGGAGGGGACTCGGGCATGCAGTAATCTTGAGATTGGGTGTTTCTCCCATCAGTGTCCACCCATGTCGTTACCCCGAGGTCCAGAAGGCAAGATCGAGAGATGGATCTAAAAGATGTTGAAGGTTTGGATCATACAACCTAGTGTGAGCTATTTCTCTGGCCTAATCTTGTTATTAAAGAAGGATGGGAGTTGATGCTTTTGTGTTGATTCTTAGGTAGTGAATGAGGAAACAATACCTAGCAAATTTCCTATCTCAATGATCAATGAGTTACTGGACGAGTTGTTTGGGGTTGTAGTATCCTTCAAGCTTGATTTTAAGTCAGGATACCATCAAATTCGATTGCAGCCGACATATGTGCAAAAGACAACATTTCAAACTAATGAGGGTCACTAAAAATTGCCAGATTATGACGCCAGGTGAGAGCCATACGACTTGATCAACAATAATTTACTCTTCCATCTTGAGGATAATGTGTCTTTTTGGGAAGGGAGTAATGTCAAATCAACACCGAGCCTGCCAAATAATTTGAAGACTTGTGTTAGGTGTAAGATTAAAAGGGCAATTTAGTCATTTTCCATTTATTTATTGTGGGGTTGAATAATGGCTAAGATATTTAATGTTATGTTATGTGTGATTGTTGTCTTGAATCTTAGGATTTGGGAGAGATTGCTCATCTCTTGAAATGTGGTTATTAAGGGTTTGGGAGAGATCTCCTATCTCTCGAATTATAGGTTGTTAAGAAAAAAAATTATGGAAAACATAATTTGTACATTCATCACATGGGCTTAAATAGGGTATAACAAATTTTTACAAATTGACCCCTAGGCTTCTTCAATATTCTCTTTTTAGCAATAAGAGCCTAAATAAGCTCTAATTATCAACACTCCCACTCAAGATGGGCAAAAGATGTCCACTAAGCTTATCCTATCACATAACCGACACAAATTTAATAAACTTAAGTCCTTTAGCGAGGCAGTCAATCACTTGCTCTCAAGTGGCTACATGGCTTAGCTCCAGTAGACCACTATTCAACTTTTCCTTGATGAAGAATCTGTTAATCTCCACATGTTTGGGTCTATCGTGTTGCACCAGGTTGTTGGCAATGTTGATTGCTTGTTTGTTATTACACCACAACTTTATTTGAGTTCTTTTGTCCACCTTTAGCTAACCAACAAGACTCTCAACCACATCATCTCGGCAACTCCTAAAGCCATGATCCTATAATTTGCCTCTGTTGTTGACCTCGCTACTACATACAATTTTTTGCTCTTCAAAGGGACTAAGTTGCCCCCTTCAAACATGTAGTATCCTGAGATGGATCTTCTTTCATCTGTACTACTTGCCCATTCAGCTTTACAAAAGCCCTTGATGTCTACCTGCTCATTCTTCCTGAAGATCAACCCCTTAGGTACCTCGGAAGTCGGAACCTGCTACACTGCATCCATATGCCCCTTCCTTGGATCTTGCATGTAGCGGCTCTCCACGCTTACTGCAAGAGATGTCGAGTCGAGTGACCCCACCAATCTCTGATACCTCTCACGATCAACCGGTTCTCCTAACTTTACACTTAGCTTGGCCTTTTGGTCAATTGAAAAGACTAGAGGTTTGCACCCCAGCATGTCTGTTTCCATGAGGAGATCTAGTACATATTTTATTTGGGACATGACCATCCCTTTAGGTCCACAGACTACTTTAATTCCAAGAAAGTATCTGAGCTGTCCAATATCCTTCACTTCAAATTCATTGCCCAATCTTACATTTAGTTAGGAAATTTCTACCTCACCATCACTGATGACAATGATGTCATCTGTGATATTCATGTTATCGAAAAAAGATTATATGTTCTGCATTGATATGCTGATATCCCATGCTTATCAAAACATTTTTAAACTTGTCAAATCAGGCTCGAGGAGACCGCTTCAAGTCATACAGTGACTTTTTAAGCCTACACACCTTGCCCACTATCTGGACTGTATCAAATCCTAGAAGTATCTCTATATATACATTCTCCAGTAACTCACCATGAAGAAATACTCTCTTCACATTTAGTTGGTGTAACCTCCACCCACCATTGATGACAAAAGAAACCAATGTCTTCACTGTGCTCATCTTTGGTGTTGATGCAAATATTTCATCATAGTCAATGTTATATGTCTGACCGCATCATTTTGACACCAGTCGTGCATTGTACCGCTCCAACTTCCCTTTTAGAGTTTGCTTCGTTGTGAGATCTACTTGCACCCAATTATCTTTTTCCCTGTTGGTTGTGGAACTACCTCCAATGTTCGGTTTTTATCGTGAGCCCTAAGCTCTTCATGCATAAATGATTTCCACTTAGGATTCTTCTTAGCAACCTGCCAACACTTGGGTTTAGTGGCAGTTTTAAAGATGTCATGAATGCTTAATGTAAATGTGATATGTTAGAATACAACAACAACAAAGCCTTAATCCCACTACGTGGGGTCGGCTGCATGAATTCTTTTTCTCCATTGCGTCCTATTTAGTGTCATATTTTCATTTAGTTCTAATAAATTAAGACCATTTTTAATACAATAAGCCCAAGTCTTCCTAAGTCTACCTCTGTCTTTCTCAACACGAGTCGAATCTAAAACATCTACTCTCCTAATCGGATCATGAGATGGTCGACGTTTAATGTGACCAAACCATCTAAGACGACTTTCTCTAATTTTTTTCGTCACAGGAGCTACACCGACCCTATCACGGATATATTCATTTCGCATTTTGTTTCTAAGTGTAAAGCCACTCATCCACCTAATCATTCTCATCTCGGCAACACTTAACTTATTATTATGTTTCTCTTTTAAAGGCCAACATTCAACGACATAGAGCATTGCAGGTCTCACCACCATCTTATAAAATTTTCCTTTCAGTCTATGCGGTACTATTCTATCACACAAAAGGCCCGAAACATTCCTCCACTTAACCAACCAACTTGAATTCTACTATTAACATTCCCATCTATATCACCATCGCTTTGAACAACAGACCCAAGATATCTAAATCGTTCACACCTTTTAATCATTTGATCGCCCAAAGTCACACTTCTGTCACTAGAGCTATTACTACTAAAATTACATTCCATGTATTCAATTTTAGTTCTACTTAAATGAAGGCCTTTAGACTCCAATGTAGACCTCCATAATTCAAGTTTTTCCTGGGTTTTTTCTCTCGTTTTATCCACGAGAAGGATATCATCAGCAAAAAACATACACCAAAGTACATCTTTTTGTAGATGTCCAGTAAGACCATTCATAACTAAAGCAAAAAGATATGGGCTTAAAGCCGATCCCTGCTGTAATCCAACGGAAATAGGAAAATATTTGGTCAATCCTCCTTCAGTTTGAACACAAGTAACAACTTCAGTATAAATAGCTTTAATGACTTGAATATAAGTCATATCAACACCTTTCTTCTCAAGAACTCTCCAAAGGATATCTCTTGGAACCTTATTGTAAGCTGTTTCTAAATCAATAAAAATCAAATGTAGATTCTCCTTATTATCTCTGAACTTCTCCATTTAACCTCTCAATAAATGTATAGGTTCCATAGTAGACCTGCCCGACATAAATTCAAATTGATTATGAGAAATCTGTGTGCGTCTTAACCTATGTTCAATTACCCTCTCCCATAACTTTAAAGTATGGCACATCAACTTAATTCCTCTATAATTTGCATACTCTTGTGCATCCCCTTTATTATTAAAAATGGGGACCGAAATACTCTTCCTCCACTCCTCAGACATCTTTTTAGTTTTTAAAATAATATTAAAGAGTTTAGTAAGCCAAGAAACTCCCAAATATTTTCATACTTCAATTGGGATATCATTAGGTCCTACAGACTTTCCACCATTTATTTTTTTTAAAGCCTCATCAACTTCTTTACTAATACGACGGTAAAAATGAAACATTTTATTATTATTCACGATATTAAGATCACTAATGTCGATCGTATTGATCACTAATCACTAATGTCGATCGTATTTTCAGAAACTTCACTAAAAAGTTTATCAAAGCAACTCACCCACCTATGTTGAATGTTTTTTTTCTAAGAAAAATACTTTTTGATTTTTATCTTTAATACATTTTACTTGAGTTAAATCTTTATTTTTCTTTTCTCTTTGTTTGACAGTTTATACATATTTTTCACCCTCTTTAGTATCTAATATATTATAAAGATCATTTAAAACAAAATTTTTAGCGTCACAGATTGTTCTTTTAGACACCCTGCGGCCGTTTGATATTTTTCCCAGTTCTCTAAGTTTTTACATTTAAACTAAATTTTATAACATAACTTTTTATATTTTATCTTTTCTTGCACATTATTATTCTACACCAACTATTTTTATTTATAAAAATTTTTTCTTTTGATTCTCCAAGCACATCTTTTGTTACTTGTTTAATAGTGTTTGTTACTTTATCCCACATAACATTTGCTTCTTCATGAATATCCTAAATTTTGAAATCTTGAATTTTACTCATAAAAATAATTTTATTTGTATCTTTTAAGTTTCT